GCAGAGAGGAGCACCGAGCGGACTGACCGGAGTAATCCCCAGTCAATCTGCCTGGTGGCATTAATCGTATTAATCGTCGTGTTAAAACATAATCGATTAATGTTTTTCTGACAATTAATTGCACACGATGCGATTATGACCAATCCTAGACCAGATCCACATCTGTCCACATGAACAACATGAGAGGAAGACAACATTTCTAAGTTGACCTTTGACCTGGAATTTTCTTCAGTTATTTCTATGAAAATGTTTCATGTGATGAAGATTAAAAAATGTCTCTAACTTCATCCAAACCGAACCCCTCATGGTTCTAATAACTACTAATAATTCAAACAGCTGATCTCCACTGACTGATGATGGAATGAAACATCTGGACTCACACAAACWYTCTRCAGTTCCTCACAGCTGGAATCAGTCTCAGTCGACCCTGATCTGATGTGTTGTACTTCCTCAGGTCCACCTCATCCAGAACCTCCTCTGACATCTGCAGCATGTAGGCCAGAGCTGAACACTGGATCAATGAGAGTTTATCTGATCTGTTCTCCGACTTCAGGAACTCTTGTATCTCCAGATAAACTGAGAGGTCCTTCATCTCCATCAGACACTGGAAGATGTTGATGCTTCTGTCTGGAGACACTTTATGTCTGTTCATCTTCTTCAGGTTGTTGATGACTCTCTGGATGGTTYYTGGACTGATCTCTSTCTGACCCAGCAGACCTCCTAAGAGTCTCTGGTTGGACTCCACAGAGAGGCCATGAAGGAAGCGAACAAACAGGTCCAGGTGGCCATTTTCACTGAGGAGGGATTTCTCCATGACTCTGTTCAGGAAATAATCCAGAGATGAGTGTCTGTACTCCTTTCCTGGAAACTTCATCATCCTCGTCATGTTCTTCAAAAACTTCTTAATTCTCTCCATGTTCTTCCAAAAGCTCCCCATCTCCATGTTCCTGTTTGTGGAAGAGTGGAACATGTAGACTGCAGCCAGAAACTCCTGAACACTCAGATGAACGAAGCAGTAGACTGGTTTCTGGAAGATCACACACTCTCTTTTGAAGATCTCTGTACAAACTCCTGAGTACACCGAGGCCTCTGTGACATCAAGACCACACTGCTCCAGGTCTTCTTGGTAGAACATGACGTTTCCTTCCTCCAGATGTTCAAAGGCCAGCCTCCCCAGCTTCAGAAGAACTTCCCTGTCAGCCTCTGTCAGCTCCTGTGGTCTGGTCCCAGGTCCTTCATGGTACTTGTTCTTCTTCCTGGTGGTCTGGACCAGCAGGAAGTGTGAGTACATGTCAGTCATAGTCTTGGGC